ATGGGAAGAGCGCAGGTCGCAGTGCGCATTTTATGTCGACTACTTACCAAAAATGAATAAATCAAAATATATTTATGCTATTTTACAAGCATACTTTTTGGCCTCAGCTTCTATTTCTGCACGCAACTTGTAATACGTTACCGGAAAAAATGTCAAGTGATCCGAAATGGGAAGTTATTAGACCCCAATACCAATACGATTACAGACCTGTGCTCTTGGAAGGTGTTTGTTTATCGTCATCATCGTGGCGTTCCTGACAGTAAACTTCCAGATTWTTTATGATTCCAAGGATGACAACATTTGATGCGAGGATACTATCGCTAATGACTCCTTTATCAATTGGACACACTTTGCTTTTTCCTAACCATCTAATAATACACTCATTACAGAAAGTGTGCCCATTTTTACAATGCACAGGATCTCTGAATACATCACAACTATAAACAAAGAGAGTAGACATTTTCTTTTCAGTTGTAAATAATAAAAAAACTATTAAAATTCATTAATATTAAAAAAACTTTAGTTAAGATCTAGACTATGGAGCAAATATTTACATGCGCATTCAAACGATTTAAAATAACATAAATTTAGGCACTCCGTAAAAGCGGAGCTCCCATAGTGTTTTAGACACAACTAAACTAAAATTTAAACTTTATGGAACTATTTTTATTATTCAAGATTAAGATAATGTCCGTCTCCCATCTCGCTCTCCGTCCCCCCCCCCCCCCCCCCCCCCCCCCCCCCCCCCCTCCCTCCGTAATGAAGACCAGTAAAAAAAATTAATCAAAATGCACTGCATTCTTTTCTTCGCAATTCTTTGTTTTCCACCTTACTACTCTTTCACTTTAGAAATTCTGACAAGTACATTTTTGGATGAAGTAAATAATGTCTTGCATTACGTTTTCCATGCAAGACAATTTCACGTTTYGAATTAAATTGCTGGTTAGTTTTACTCGAAAAAAAACACGAAAGATAGCTAAGTTTAAAGTAATACAATCGATATCAAGGTGACTGAAATTTACCTGAAATGTATGTCTTTCACTCGAATTCAAATCCGAATTTTGGAGATTTCCAAAAATGTTAAGGACAAAAAAAAAAAAAAACAGCAACAACAACAACAAAACAAAAAACAAACAAACAAAAAAAAAAAAAAACAAAACAAAACAAAACAGTAAACAGACTCGAAAACTGGTTGAAATACTGAACAAACTATAAGATATATTGGTATCCAATGAGTTTTTTTATTTACTTCTCGATCATAAAAAGGTTTCTTTCATGGATTTGAAGTCGCTCCTCATGGTCTGATGAAAATCGGATCCAGTAAAAGGCCTTTCGAGCCTCAGATTCAASTACTCTTTTAATAAGAACATTAAACTACATCAAAACATAGGACGTTTAGATTATGAAAGAGRGATRTGAAAAAGTCGTTCTCTCATGAAATTCACATGCAGTAAAAGAACCTCCGAATCAATTTTTAAACCATTTTAGTCAATTCTTCTTATCTCAGTATTTGATATGTTTAAATATTTTATTAATTTTTGTTTATATTTGTTTGTTTTTGCTTTGCGATGACAAAAACATATAACTTTTCGATTATAAAAGAAAGGTCTCTTCCCTTGATGTGAAAAATATTGTCTGCAGTGCCTTTGCAAGTAGGTTGCTTTGAAATCAAACAAGAACTTGAATTCTGTGGTGTGTACAAGGACGTGACGCATTTACGGACGGACGGTCGGTTTGAATTGRCCTATTCAACTCATGGAAAATCAACTCGATGGGTTACCAAATTTTCTTAAGTATGGTGCTCCACTAYAACATTTAACTACAACGGATTATATACTTTTTAGTCTATAGAGTATAAAACTGAGAATACAAGTAAAAGCTTTTGTCAGTCAGCTGCTCCCAGACAGTTTTTTTAAAACCAGTAAAGTACAGCTCTAGTTTTTCAGAGAGAGATTGCTTAACTGTTTTAAAATGCTGAATGTTAGGGGGTTAAAGTAGACATTCTTTCTAAATAAATAAAAAAAGATTTCTTATTTTCTTGATTTAGGTAAAGTGGCTTATAAAAAATAATGAATACATATTNAACGCTTAATCGAATAAAAAAAGCAATATTATTTTACATAGCAATCGGCTTATCAATAAAAGTATAGAACTGTGACTAGAGGAAATAGCAAGCAGCGGGCAATCGAGCAAGTTAGATTGATGTTTAACAAACTTACCATATTGGACAGATGAGATCTTCTTCAGGCTCTTCAACAAATAGATTGACCCCGTATCCCATGTTTATGAATTTTTTTGGTAATATTTCAGTTAGAAGTTAAACGGTATTAACGAAATACCGATGGAATTGATATTGAAATAAACTGACTAGAAACCATCAATCATCTGTCTTACAGAAATAATTTATTCATATACATATAGATCAAAAGCGAGGGATGGGGAGGAATGGGGACTTGTATCCCATTAATTCCTTATTTGAACCAATAAAAGCCGAGAAGGAAATCACTGTTTATTTGAAGCGAAGTTATATGTACCAGAATTAGTTGCCTGTTAAAAGAWTTTTGACTTAGGACTTTGAACTTTTGGCTTCCTGTGTCCAAGATGTTAGAAAAATATTATGAGATGAGAGGGTGTCAGAGTTTGCTTGTGAATCGAATGCAACGTTGTAATTCTTTGGAGTTTGAACCTTAGAAAGTCTGACTAGAGCCTATAAAACCAAATTGAGGAGTCTTTATTTCTACGACAGTTGCCTAATGTAAAAGTGGAAATGCTCGAGGTGACGCCAAGTGAGAACAAATCTCTTGMGATACCTGTGGTAAGTAGGACGGGTTTTTAAAAAAGTAAACAAATTACATCATTAATAACTAATACTTTTTTATATATGTTTATAAAATAACTGTTATGAATGTCGCGTTTTGATTGGTTTRGATCGCGTGCTTTATGAGAGCACATTGCACGCTCGCGCACTTTTCGTTGCGTCATTTCCTATTATTGTAATTTGTATTTTATAAAAGAAATAAAAAACTTGCTTGTTGTGCTGTATGCAGTTATAAAGCACTTGGGGATTGGCAGAACACTCATGATATGTCCAGAAGCACTCTGCTATGCGTCGTGCTTCTCCTAACACTTCTCTCGT